ATTTTGTATAGACCGGCAATTAAAATATAGACATACTGTAATTCGTCATGAACATGATGAAGGCAAAGTTTACATATGTTTTTAAACACTGATATTCAAAACAATTTAATTTAAATTCAGAAAAGTATTACATTTGGAAGGACTTGTTACTTTTTCACAAAAACGTCAGGCTAACGATTTCTCCCATTTAAATTTGTTTAATCTTGGCTTAAAATACCTTACTTTGTATGGTCGCCATTTCATCGAAAAGTATTAAAAAAAGTATTAATTTCGCTATTTAAAAAGAAGACGTGTGAAGTATGGATATCGACTTTCTGAGAAAATGTGGTTATTATTGATGGCAAAAAGACTAGCAATGCAAGAACCGTTCATTTGAGTCGATATTCCAAAAATCGTATTACTGTATTCTGATCCTTAAATAAAGAGGACATTGATTGCAATAATGGAGTGATTAAAACAGACAAGTTACAATGTAATTATCACAATCAACTCACGTCTACACCTGTTGAGTTAGTGGGACAAGTGTAAGTGTTTCTGAGGGAAGCTTTATCATAATATAACGGTCGCAAGTGATAACATATCTACGCCGACCCATCCATTGGAGCTACTTGCTAGTCTTGCTACCGTTGTACTACTTCTTAAATTCTTCCACACTGTTTGCCACGGTTTTGTGTTCAAGGCAAATGCTTATTTGTCAATAGTTGTGATGTCGTGGATACGAATAATTAGATTAACCCTAGACGTTATATATATAAAGTTCCGAATGTTTGTTGGTTTAACCCCAAGGGGAAAAAATACTTTTAGGGTTTAAGAAACTGGACTCCCTTCTGGATCGGATGTTCTCGAATGCAACGCTTAAGTTAGTACTGTACAGGTAGTTAGCAAAGGTAGTGTTAGTAAACTAGTTAGTACCACCTGTGTCAATCATAAAATTCTCTTGACAAGGTTAATTTTGAAAGCCCGAGAACCGAGCCCAATATGGGTTTCTTAATTGAGAACAAGACGGAAACCTCCACAGGTCTACGTAAATATTTCTCCTAAATCCACTTCAATCAAAGCGATAAAGATAGGTTTGGAATTCATGAACGATAGAACGTACTGTAAAGACTTTATTTTGACTAAACTACTAAACATATTTAATGTGGGCAAATATAGATAATGCTTTGAATGGATTCGTAAACCAACCCGACCTGGCCACGGGAAGAAAACAGTTTGAAAAAAAACTTCAAAAACTAAAAGAATGAATTTTATTTCCGGACTTTATTCAGTTGATTCGTTGATTGATTTCACCGGCTAAAATAAAGAGATTGCATAAATTTAATGGCTTTGTTGTACGGCTAGACAGTACAAGACACATTCAGGTCACATTGTACATAGTCACACTTTTTGTAAACCATCCAGCGGAAATCCGGCCTCTCGGCTGTCCGCAAAACTGCATGTGGGATGTGGGTCTCATGGAAACAGCAACTGGGAAACAGCTGTGTTCGCGATACTGCGATTATCGCATGTTTATCTGATCAGCAACCGTGTACTGTGCTGATGCCTGATGTTCACCTTTCACATGAAATAAAACTGGATAAAGTCTTTGTTTATCAGGCCTGTGCGTCTGCTATGCAGCCTTTAAGTAATGGTTTCACCATCGATGTATCAAACTTCCTGGGTTTCACCTATAGGGCTTCAATATTTTTATCTACTCAGTAGTATAGTTATTCAGTCGTAAAAATCTTTGTACTGTACAACTAAATCTATAGTTCTACTGGACCGATTTGATTAATTAATGAGTCTTTGGAATGCTCACTCCAATTTACAAATGATTATGAAAGTTAGTTTTTGTTTGGATCTATGGTGTAATAGTATATTACGTTAAAACTAGTCCTGAAAATAAGTGTTTACCGGACGAGTGTGGTCGTTCCCGTGCGAGACGAAGTCGAGTACGGGATTACCATACGAGTCCGGTACCTACACACATTTAGGACGAGTTACGTACGATAATTTACGCCATACTACTAAATTCGTACAAATTCTTATATATTTCCACCAACTAAAGGACTGAAAATCACCAGTCATAACCAGGTTATGTTTTTGTTTATAACCATTCATTGCCACCTAAATACAGTAGCTATAATCAGCTGATTGGTGTCTGGTAAAACTCATTGCAGTAGGCCTACAGTAGTACGCAAACCTACAACAACATAACCTGGTTATGACTGGTGATTTTCAGTCCTTTAGTTGGTGGAAATATATAAGAATTTGTACGAATTTAGTAGTATGGCGTAAATTATCGTACGTAACTCGTCCTAAATGTGTGTAGGTACCGGACTCGTATGGTAATCCCGTACTCGACTTCGTCTCGCACGGGAACGACCATCACACTCGTCCGGTAAACACTTATTTTCAGGACTAGTAACGTAATATACTATAAGCAGCCTCCGAATTTATTGTGGCAAGAAAATAATGATTTAGATTTTTAACTTTGCACAACTAAACCTACAGTTCTACTGGTTGGAACTTTCATAATTATTTACAAATATTCTAGAATTAAGCTTTCCAACGAAACATTAGGTAACAAAAATCGATCCAGTAGAACTGTAGATTCATTTCTACTGGATCGATTATGTTAATATTATTTAGTTTATGTTAGTTTGGTAGGTACCTATCAATTTTAAAACAAAAGATCCTCTAAGTCCCATGTAGAAGATGGAATAGTGTCAATAATCTTTGTCCACTAATGCATTTTCGATGTAGCCTGTAGCGAGTTGCGATTGACCACTGATGATTAGCTACAGCCCATAATTGATAGAATAAGTTATTATATTCTACTTACTGTATTCTAAAACACGATGTTAATTAATTAGGAATTGTATGTTTTCGTTTTCATTGTACAAAAATGAACACACAAAAAATCTTGTGGTTCATCACAGAAGAAAAAGAAGTACCTAGGCCCATATGTCACCAAATGGAAAGACCTTTTTCTTATTTAACCAAAAGGTGTTAGCCTACCAATAAGCCTAATTTGGGATTCCGTATTTTGTACTTTAGTTTTGTGTTTGGGCTCTTTACTCTGGGCTTTGGAATTGGTAAATTTCCCCCATCTCCCAAGTTGTGTATACAATCCCAGGTGGTGTTTCGCTGAACTATAACTCTACAATAACCTGTCCTTTGTTATATTTAATTTACACCGACAGTCTACATAACATTTCACAAACTTATTACCCCAACGTTATGAGGGAAGGAATTGGTACAGAGAAATATAGCCTAACGAATTTATTTCTATCACATACGTACTAAGCACAAAAATGATTGTGCACTACTATATGTTGTATATGGAATATGGGGGAACATGTGACGTGCAGAAAGGAAGTGACACACGGTGGGACACCGCTGGGGGGGGGGTTACGGGTCGCCGAACACAGCAGGGGGGAGGGAGCCATGGGGCAACCCCAGCTGTTCATTTCATTTACAATAATTATATGATTCTGGGCATAGGTTCCTATGTTAGTCGAACTGCAATACAGATTAATTCTGACAACAAAACTTACATGTTTACTCTTGACGATTAATTGTTATACTCTAACCCCAATCTGTCTTGAAACAAGCTAATGGGATATGATGGAGATGGAAAAAATCTTCGTGTAAATACGGTATGCGAGAATTTTTCGAGTGCTCGGGCAACACTCCCCTTATGACGACCCCTGTCTACACTCAGCGAATAATTTGTCAGAGCGAGAAACCTAAATTCTCTCTCAAACAGATAATTTCTAGATCAATAAAATCACAAAAATGCACAATGAACACACACTGATGTTTTCTTATGTCGAAAGATAACATATTGTACATGTAAACCGTGTCAACGTCATCGTGGTAGTCTATAGAAATAATTAATTATTAGTACAAGTTGAAGACACGATACAACTTTCAATTGGTTTGAAGAACATTTAAGCTCAAATAGGCTAAAAAACTCTTAAAATTGATAAATGTCCCTTAAACTCTTAAATAGACCGAATTGTAATTTAACCTTAACCAAAAAGTGTTGTGAAAACTGAATTCAACGTCATATCCTGTGGCCAAGGTGACAATTTGCATACAAGTTCATGAGCGCTTTGGCAACAACCACAACTGTCAACAATGGAACTGATTACAACCATCCTGCCAGTTTTTATGAATTTCAATCTACTGAATTTGATGTAGAAAGCAGAAGTTTAATATAAAATATGTGCTAGTTTGACATAGAAAGGTGCATTGAGGTGGTAGTAAAAACTTGAAACCTTGGGACTCTGTAAAAATATCATGGTGCAAAAATGATCAATACAAAAAGTCACCCTTAAAACATTTATTTCTCAAAATTGTGCAATTCAAGGATTTTGACTCACACACACAGTCAACAGCTGTGCAATGGGAATGGAAGTGCAGCTAGGTTATTTTTGGCGCGTCTTCCTTCCACTCTACAACAGCACAGACAGTAGCGCGGAGCGCGGTATCATGGCGGTGAACTATTGGCGATACCCCGCGAAAATAATGTTCAGTGAAAAATGTAGGGGTTACATATTACAAACCGACTTTAATAAAACCTGTCTGGTGAATAGAGAAAATAATTATCTCATTAAAATAGAGATTACATCAAGGAACGTAATCAAGAACATAAATAAAATCCAAACATTGTGGGGTCAAAGTAAAACACCGTTAACATCAAAGACGGATAGGGGATTGCAAACAATGTTTGTTTGAATTTAACTTGACTTACATTTTTTGTTTCTAGAACTAATTTATTGGTAGGTTACAACTAATTATGAGCTCACCAATCTTTCCTATTGCGAAATAACCGTAACACATTGTTTTGAAAACATTAATTCGCCCGCAGTGTATCCAGTAAGCTTGTTTCATGAAGTTGCGCAACCAATCTAATTTCAGCAGTAATATTGCTTGAGAATTACCATAGCTCATATCGTCCGTACCTTCAAACATTTTACTAGTTTACATAGTAGAAAAAGATTGAAACTTACAAATCCATATCCTCTGCTCTTGCCGGTCTGTCTGTCAGTGATGACCACCGCCTCCTCGATATCACCGAACACAGAGAAGTGTTCTCGCAGCGACTTATCTGTCGTGTGGTACGGCAACCCTCCGACAAACAGTTTCGTCCAAGTAGTGTCTTTCTGCTGGGTAGTTCCCGTAGGGGTGGTCAAACTAGCCAGACTCCCAACCAGACCATCGGCGGTTCCCAACATGCTGTCCGTGGATCCTAGAGCACCGGGCATCAGCATTTTATAGGTTAAAAGCACTTTAAACTGTATACGTGTGACTCCAGGGGTCTATCTACATAGCTAGAGCACGTTCACTTGTGTGAAAACTTGCGGTAAAGTCGCGGCAAGCACTCCGAGCGTCGACTGCTACTCACTACTGTGTACTGTGTAGTACAGTTGACGATCTGACTCACTCGGCGCGCTGGCAGTGACTGCTATATAGTATATTTAGGCTAAGCTAGCCTCCCCCCTACGTAACGGCGCGACGCAGCTGCCACGGAGGGCTTCTCCCCCTAACCCCCACCCCACCCACTAGGCTTTTTTCAGCCTTTGATCAGGGGTGGTGAGATGTTGTTAATGCCTCCCTCGCAACTTGCTGATCCGCGGATTTATTGGTCTTTTAAATCAACAATTAATTTAGTGTTTATTCAGCTTTGTTTGAGGAAAGTTGATTTTTCGATTGTATTTCTTATTTCGTTGATAAAGAGACCATAAAAGGAGTTTTGAAACATTTAACAAGATACATTTTAACATTCGAAGTTGTTTCGGGGCTGTCCACATATTATGTAACGCTCATGGAGAGAGGGGAGGGCCTCATAGAGATCTATGGGTTAGGCTTAGCGTTACGAAGATAGGGGAGGGGGTTTTCAAGATACAATAGTTACGGTAATACGCACTAAACAAATAACTTTTTCAAAGTAACATAATGATAACCTCAGAAACAGTCTATTTTGTAAAAATAATTGAAATATCAGTTTAAATTTTGTATTCATTATATTGAATTTTAGCCTCCTAATTGCATTTAATATTTAAATACTATAAATAGGTGTAAATACCTGCATTTTTGCAATCCAGTTTGTATCTCAGGTATAGTCACCAATTTATAGTAAATTTTGTATTGACTTTTTTTGTCTAGAACTGATATTCTAGTTCCGAAACGACTTGCCAATCTGAATTTTTTTCTGTTTGATTACCGTAATGTTAATTTTGTTCAGAAGTGTCACAGTAAAAAGACACAAAAGTGTTTAGTATACAATTGCTGATTTTTTCCAAATAAGTTTTGTTGTAAACGTTAATCTGTTTGGATATTGTGCTCAAATAAACTGTAAAATTTGTTCTCGAAATGTTTGTTATTGTGGATGACAAAACCAATTAAACCCATTTTATGAGGTCAGGAGAAAACTTTACCAAGAGTTCATACCTCAACCAAGTATAAAAGTTTTTAGACAGCGTTACTGTTAGTCGGGGGGCTTGCATTATATAGCGTTACTGGGGGGGGTGGGAGGGGTTTAAAATTACTATAAACGTGTTACGTAAATTGAAGACGGTCTCTTAAAGGGTTATCATAATTGGGTGCTTTGGAGAAATTAAAATTAAAATCGTTGTAGGATCATCGTCAATTGTAGGTCACAGTTTACTTTTCACAGCTCTGTTTGGGATAGTGCATTGATACACACACCAGTTTATTAAGGTTCTTCTTGGGATAAACATGTATTTAGGATACTGCAAGAAATGTCGACTTATTATACTTTACTGGTCTTATTGCAATTGTTCAGAAGCTTGTTTTTGGTGGACGTATATTATGGACGTATATCCGGTAAAGCTTGAGTGCGTTACTCAACATTAAAGACAGCTCTGCTATACTTATACATATATATCCGAGTGTTTCTGTGCTAGCCTTCCAAGCTGAAGGTTGTCTGTTCAATCCCAAGCAACTTTACCGCACTCAGATGTCATTCGTCATTGGGCTATCATCTCAAGCAACATCTTTACCGCACTCATATGTCATTCGTCATTGGCTATCATCTCAAGCAACATCTTTACCGCACTCAGATGTTATTCGTCATTGGTCTATCGATTAATGATGCTTACCAACAAAAGTTCAACATTTCAAGACCGGTTTGGAGCGATCCTTTACAAAAAAGGTGGTCACAAAATATCAATGGCGTATCTGTAAAACCAAAAATGTTACAATTACATAGTCCACTTTACACCTTGACTATTACCACCAGAATTTATACATTATTTGTTTATTTCGTCATAATTTAATAGGCCCTACACTTTGTGAAATAAAATAACGTACAAGTCATGAAATAAAGAGGACGCACCGCACGGGACGTCGCGGGGGGGGGGGGGGCGCACTGTTCGTCAGCTTATCCACAGGGGCAATAAATCTAGGGAGTATGTCGAATGGTAAGAAGTAAGGGTATAAAATTACCTAAACACCTTACTATCAATGAAACATCAACCTTTACTCTATAGGTTGCATCGGAGCAGTTTAAGAAAGTCACTCGTCAATTCGTGACCTTACAGCCAACAAGGTATTTGTTTAAGCACCTATATAAATAATTGTTCTATTTCATAAACGCAAGATGCCACACCTGACAGACACAATCGATCGCTCTTTATCAGGTGTTGAAGGAACAATAGCGCGGCTGCTGACGCATTAATGAAGACATTTCTCTCCAGGAACTCCTCCTACGGCCAAGTCCTTGAAGGCTTTGCACCTCTCGTTTAGGGCAAAAGTAAATCGATTTCCCAGTAAATCATACAACGGAGTAAACACAAAAAGACTTTAATGTGATGGTAAATTTCGTGGTTTAGCCTACGGTAAAATTTTGCTCTATCATTGGCTATAGCAGTCGTATTCAGGCAGAGTATTTTTGCCGCCTTCTTAACACAATACACTAACTGTATTTTTCTGAAGTAAAATACATTTAACATGACTATGTTATCATGACAAACCAAAACCACTGTCTTCAAATGTATTCTTATAAAGTGTTCTATAAGAGTTCTACCTGTCCGCCACGCGCTAATGCAAATAGGATCTTCGTAATTGTCAGCTTAGTTCTTAACCGATTGAAAATATAATTATGTTACTTCATTTATTTCATATTAGTGTACGCTTTTACCGTTGTATTTTTTTTTGCTAATAGAAGAAAGTTAAGTGTGAAGTCGAAGTGACTAGTAAATACCTCAACAAAATAAGCACTTTACTCATGAGAATTAATTTTTTATGGAAATTAAAACCAGAGAGTCATAGATTTGAATGTAATGAGTAAGAAACCTTCTTCACTGTGGGCTACTGCCATTGACTATATATAGGCCTACCTATAAGTCACCTGTAGCACAGAAAACGTACTACTATAACTTATAGACTGTATACCTTAACTTATAAACTGTATAGGCCAAGTTTACAACATAAAACAATTTGACAATAGTTTAAACCCTGATAAGAATGACTTTAATCGTTTGATAGTGTTCTCAGCCCTAAACCAAAATTACAAACCTACCAAAGACGATGTCCGAAAAAAAATTATGACATCTCAAAATATTTTACTGCCACGGGAAAACATACTGCATTTGTTAACGCTGGTTAAAGGATTCACAAATTATTAACCATATAACTCATAGTTTACATACGTTCATTCTTATCGCTATACTCTTATTTTATGTCTCACCTAACCAACCAATAAACCAACCAAGTGGAAGTTTAAGATGTGAGAATATTTGGCGAAAATATGCAGGGTTCATTTTCTGAAGAATGAGGGTTACATGCTATTATTTTATGTGGGTGATATCGTAAAATATTATTGGTAAAAGTGTTTCCCCTATTGAATTTACTAATGTAAACACCACTGACGCTAGCACTATACCATAAACAAAAGAAGTATCCTTCTCTTATCTATGGTATCGGCACTGACATTCCTTAGTCTATGCTAAAATGTAAAACCAAAACCGAAGATTCAAGAGAGCGCTTTCATATTATAAATTGTATTGTTGTGTGGTGGTTTGGTTTATGTGCTAAAACATAACACAAGTTGACTTCTTCAACGAACAGTTGTCTTCCATCAGAAGAAAATGCTCCAACATTATCTTTGTTATGCCTGTTTGTAGCTGATGTTTGTTTGTTTTTCCTAAATCTCTTTCATTCTTGTTATTCATTCATAGATTTATTGTTGTTTGTTGTAATTTTTTCACGTAGAACTTAATGTCATCATAGTTTATATTTTGTTAAATCTTGAGGAGATATTTGTTGTTGTTACTTTCAAAATATATATGCTTTTTCTTAGGTCCAAATTAATATTACATTTTTTCTTGTTATTATCTGTACAATACTTTGTTAATGTTATTATCTGTAATTTTTGTCACGTTGTTGTTTTTATTATTGTTGTTATTATTTTTTGTTGCAATGCTGCTTTGTTTCATGGTCATTATGTAACTTATCTTGTTATTTTTTTGTTATCATTTCATTCTGCTCATGTGCTTAAAACACATATTTTGTAAATGGTGTATCCGTTGATAAGAATAAATAAATAAAAAATAAATAACAGCAACTTTTAAGGTCAAGTAAAGAATGCAGAAAGTTAGAATATGTATTTATAAACCCTAATTCATTTTTTTTTTCTAAGATTAAAAAACAAATTGTCTCAACAATTTTTTTTTGGAATTTCTTTAGATAAAACTGTTAGCGAATCTTTAAATATTTTTTTAACCGCACTAGAATAGACACAACGTTATTACATGATTATACGTTTACTATTTAAAACATAACGTCGATCAATTCTTAAAAAATAACCCAAAAATCCTCATGACTGTTTTTGTGTTTTTCAATGTGTAAAAGGTCTCACTAAAACAGACACTTTTGCTTTTGAATATGTTTTATTACACTCTTTAAGACTGTACTGTATTAACTTTTACCTTAGCGCCACATAGGTTGCTACTGCTACTTTTAGGGCGTTTACAGTGGCATTCTAGGGAGTACAGTACTGTATTCAATAGTTTTAGTAATAGCCTAGGGAGATGTAGTAGACCTTGAGTAAAAGCATTTCACTATCACTTAAAGAAACTAGCTCTTCAACTAAGAATAATCGATGATACATTCCCATTTCACTAAATCCAAAGGTTCTACCCTTCAAGTATTGTATCTTGAGTTGAAAGACCTCTGAACCCTTTCCCTTTCTCCCCACTTTTTCGTCGCCTTGACAAACACACGTCATTGATGTCGAACAGGTAGTTTAATTGAGGTTTACATATCCGTTGGTGTTTGTGACATTCGACTGCCCCGCGACCCGTGCCGCTGCTAAATTTGAATACACCCCCTCCCCCCCCCCCACCAAGGGACAGCTGGGCCGGTGCAGCCGTCCAGGAGCCGTCACCCTCCTGACAACAAATTCGGCCCCAAAAGCGCAGGCCTGTGACGTATGCATTGAAGTAAACATTGTAATTAGATGTGTTTTAGGTTAATTTAGTCCTTGGCAGTTTTTTCACATAGAAACATCCGTCCATGTATTAACATTCAATTATTACAGCCTGGTAGTTTCTTTGTATCAGAATTAATTGTATTTAAACATTTAATCTTTTGGAGTTTTCTTAATTTATTTATCTGTAAACAAAAATGTCTTAAGTCCAGGCCTTGAAGGTCGGACATCTATCTGTGGTAACTAGTAAGCCGGAAGATCGTAAGGGCCTCTTCACACTGGGCCACCATGGTGGCGACACCGGTGGTGACACTGGTGGCCAGTCAAAATGTGCATGGACCACCAGCTCAGCCACCAGTGCAGCTGCAGCCACAAAGCTCACAGTTGGACGTCGAAGAGGCAGTTGCTTAGCGTATATATTTTTTTGAAATTGTGAAAACATAAGAAAAAAACTTATTTTTTGATCATCCGTTTTTATGAGATATAAGTACCAGAGAGACTTTTTTCATTCACTACCAAGACCTTAGAAATAACCCTGACACGTTTCACAATTACTACTTACTCAAGAATGAGTGTTTTAAGTTTTGATGAGCTTCTGGGACGTCTGAAAGATTAAATATCTCCAAAAGAGAAACTGCTACTAACGTTGTGGAAAATTAAATAAAAACATAGTTAATATACCATTTATTAATAACACTGTAATACCTTGACTCAATGTATACATTGCAATGACGAAAAGATGTAAATGAAATACCTATACATTTTGTTATATCAATAAAATCGTTTCCCCATATTTATTACCTTAACAACTTCAAAAGATTAGTAAACTAGTATACTGAGTAATGCCCGCTGGTAGTGACTGGTGGCGCTGCCAGTCGCTCCAATGTGAACAGTCCGATAAGAAACCATGGTACGACGTGGTGGCGCCACCAGACTGGTGTCTCTGAAAATCGCAACCCCGAGCCACCGCATTTCTGGTCGCGCGGCCAGACGCGCCACCAAAGCCCAGTGTGAAGATTTCCCATTTAAATCAATGTTAATGTAACGTAGCCACCATGGTGTCGCCACCGGTGTCACCACCATGGTGGCCCAGTGTGAAGGGGGCCTAATTGTCGATTGACCGTTGTCCAGCTAAACTACCCTGTGGTGGAAAGGAAAAGCCGTTTGTTATAAGATCGTGTCAATTATAATGGCGAGGCATGCGATACAAGAACTTTTCCCCCACCAACATGTTTGTTATTTTGTACAGTATTATCATTGAGTATCCACGTACCTATGTATACTAAATGGTATTCCGATCAAAAATTGATCGTTGTTCAGTTGAATTGTACAGGGTGTCTCGGAACTCTCTACTAACTTTTTCAGGTATTATTCCTGGACCATAGACAAGTCAAATTATCATATTCAAAATTTCAAAAACTAAAAATCTCATTTTGAAAAAAACGCGGCTATACGAATACGAGTAAGGAATAATGCTTCCGGGACACCCTCTTAAAATCTGTGATACAAAATATATTTTACCAGCTTTATATAGATAAGTAAATTAATTAGCTAAGTTGTATAGCATATCTCTAACACTATTGAAAATTGAACAAGTAGACATATATAATATTTTTGCCGTAACTAATTTGATTTTACCATTATAAACATACCGTTACTAGTAGTAATAAATTTCGAATATCAAATTCGAGCGTAGCATATAATTTACTTTTATGAAAGTAAATCACCATAAAGAAGAATCTTTACAAGTAAAATATTTGATCTACATAATAGACTTCTAAATTTCATTATATTTTTGAAAACACATTGATTGACGTTTGGCGCCACCGCCAACTTATTATTTCAGATACTGCAGCTAACGATCTCTAGCAGCGCTAGTTGAAACTACTTGCAGTTTACTGAAACACGCGATCCTAGCGGTGATAACTGAAACTGCGTGCAGCAACTTTGTACGGAGTGTTTCCGCTAGAGCGCTACTCAGTTATTCTAACATTGTAGTTATATTTCCTGTTAAATTTAACAGATTAAAGGTACTTATGTGAAATAATATCCACAGATAGCTGTTAGTAATATATTTGGTGTTTTAGTATATATTTTTTCAAGTTGACAGTAATGCGTATCTGTAACAAAAACGGTAATTTACCATTTGGATCTCGCTTTGAAAACAAGATCTCCATTTGGTTGGGTGTTTTAAACTCATCCTTCTTGGTCAACTTTGCGCAGTGGCAATATCGTAACCAATGAAGTTCAACTGAGGTGCGATTATTGCTAATTGAAAACTTTTACCAATACCCCGCCATGGGGGCGTGAAATACCGCCCGCATCGGCAATTTTTGGCAGCCCTTACGGGGGCTCATAAAATACTAAAACTCTAGAACTTAATTTAGTACTAGAGCACTACCGTGGTAGGTACACCACAGTACAATTCTACATAATTCAGGTAGAGAGTTGGTGAAGTGAAGAGTGCGAATACCATACTCAAATTCTAAACTCGTCAGTTATATAGCATTGATTAAATAAAACTATAGTGTTATGTCATTGATTTTACATTTAGTCAATGGTTATAGGTTCGTTTCGTTCGTATAAAAACTCAAATATATTAGAATAGAAGGAAAGTAAAATAACATAATATTAAAAGAAAAATCCGCGGGTGATGAACCGACACCTGAACAGATAAACTTAGTGTAACCACAACCTTTTGGCTGTGGTGTAACTCCTGACACACGATGCAAATCCTTCCTTCTATCTCAGTGCAAATGTTTACATTTTCAAATTAACTTATTATTTTATGTTTGTGTTAAAACAAATTCGTGTATGTGTGCAATACAGTAGTTACAATGTTTCCAAAAGATGGCAGCGAAACTCATGTATTCCCATTTCCCTTCCTTTGTAATTTGTAAATAATAAAATACAGTATGCACGTCATGAACACCATTATTATTGTAGGTACTATTAAGGTTTATGTTACCTGGCTTCTGTCTCCAAACCACGGTAGTTTAAGAAACTACAGCTATTTCATGCCTTATATTGGCACACCCTCAGGTTTGGTGAACCCCACATTTTCTATAAAATATCCCTCGGCGTTGCTATAGTTTCTTAAAACCACCGTGGATTGGAGACAGAAGCCAGATAACAAGCTAATTTTAACGACCCAGTGGCAAACCATTATAAAATTATTATTGTGTAACTACTATGGCCGGCCTATACAATTGTATTTTTGTAACTAGAAAATGCGTTTGTAACTAGAAGCGTGGTATAGTTAACCCTTAAAAAAATTATCTTCTTTGTATTTTTGTAATGTGATCTCTTCATTCTGTAGATATTCATTAATATTACTTACTACCTATACCCATGGCCACCTTTGCTATGCCCTTAAAAAATAACACATTTACTACATTACTATTTATATACTTTACGTGTAGAATAATTTTACACACAACTTGCACTTATAGTGTTTATGGTGTTGGTGTTGCGGTTACTTTTGTTTTTTTCTTTTCCAGTTGGCCATACTGATTGTTCTGTTTTTGTTATGGTTTAGAAATTTTTCTTGGCCTTAGCGAAGCGACTGACTCCCGCATAACCTATCAACCTCTCCACAATCAACTACAATATTTTATTCTTATCTTAATAGTAATTACTTAATATAATTTTAAGAAACTGTCTAAACTTTAATAAATAGGCCCATTTTATTTGTTTGAATTTAACAGGATACTTGCAGGTATGTCGAGGTTCTATATTAGATTGAATTAGGCCTACTTATTTAGGATAAGATTCTTCAACCAGGTAGCCTAATTGTGTTGATTTGGTTTGGAACTATTTGATATTTTTAAAGTTTAAGTTAACAGTTATTCATAAAACTGCTAGCCCCAAGGAATTTAAAAAATATAATTTATTAATAGGTTCAGACTAAAAGTGTCTAGGCCTAGGCCTAATTCGATAGTTTCAATCAATACTAGCATAGCCCAGTTAAGAAACACTACCCCATGGGGGGTTAATATATATTTTCACCCTATTTTCGGGGTGAGAAAGGTACACTTCCATTTCTGTTGGCACAAACAACCAAATGAGTAATATTGATTTATTTGATTGTTTAATTTGATAGGCTAAGTTATATCGTTTGGTATAGTGTTAGTTTAACCTTACCTTAACCCTTTCAGACCCAGCACACTCATTTGCGTGGGCAAATTTTGAAGTCCTGACAACCTAACCAGTTCACGATTGTGTAGGTTAGATGTTTATTTGTTTTTTTGAAGTTTCTGGATCTTTCTGTTGCTCAGACCTGTATGCATCGATTGTGTAGGTTATGGAGATCAGCTGGGAATTTTTGTTTTGCAGTCTGCTTTCATGTCTTATGGTAACACTGTTGCAATGTCACGGTAAGATAGGAGAAAGAAGGTAAGAGGAGGAGAAAGGAGGTTAAGGTTAATGACTGTTTTATTTATGTTTATAAACGTATAACTTATAATGCTACCTTAATTATTGCTAAAACTGAAATGGTTAATATGGTATTATGAAGGTTTCGTCTTTAAAACAAAACCAATCAATAATTTTAGTATTTGAAATCTTGGTTAAAAACCAACATTTAGGCTATTCAAAATTTGCTCAGGACTTAAAGCGATCGAGATGACTAAGATTCCCGGGTCTGAAAGGGTTAACCAAACGATATACCGAATAATTGATATTACGATCAATATTTTCATTCGGTTGTTTGTGCCAACAGATAGCCTTAAGTATGGAAGTGTACCCGTGAGAAATTCAATGGAGCAAACGCCGTCCCTTGATTTTTATTAACGTGTAACTTAGCCTACAACTTAGTTTGGACCATTTCCTTTTAGATCAGCACAATCAAGTTAGACCAAAAACTTTAATTGACTAAATTAATATTATTTCTCTTTAGGGGAAGAGAATGGCTGGTCCTCCGCACGGGTTCCCAACAAGTTTCACCAACGCACAGCAAGCTGCTATGAGAAATCAGTTTGTAGCTGGTCCCGGTGGACAGATCCCTGGGCTGATGGCACCCAACCAACAACCAGGTGAGGGTCAGACTTGTCACGTTAAAAAATTATGCAATAGGCCTACCTAACTTAAATGTTTCTGTTAAGGAAATTGTTTAATGTTTAAAGATTGAGGTGCAGCCTATAGTCTTTAAACCTTTCACCACAGATTTTAACAGTTCACTCAACTTAAGTTTATATAAGTTAGGCCTAAGTTGAAAATCATTGTCTAACTTAAAACAGTAGTGACCAACTTTGGCGGAAATGAAGGGAAAACAATTTGTATGTATGTTAGTGAGCTTGTAATATTTTGTTCAAATCATGGATACTTAAAAAGTAGCCTACGGTAGCAAAATAAAGAATCACCACTATTTGTTTCAGGTTTTCTTGTCCAAAACAATAATTCACATTACCGTACGAACTATGCGCTCACAACATGTTTTGTTGCGTGTTCATGAGCTTAGAATTCCCTTTTCTATGAACCGAACCTATTTCTACAGGCCTAGGCCTACTTAATAACATAAAGTAACTAACTGGGAATTAGCTAAAGAATATCGCATTCTCAGGCGTGTGGAACCGTGCAGCCCTAAACAAATTCAGCCTGAACCCTTTAGACACGTAATTTAATGTAAGCTAACTGTGTCCAACAAGCTGAGCCGCCGTCTATAAGTAGAACAATTTAGTTATGCCTCTTGGGAGAAGTCAGTGTGGAATAATTCCACTAGGTAAGACAAGGCGCTGCACTGTGTGCCTGAGTCTGTGATTGGCCTAAACCAAGTATTTTAGGGGCAAACATTAGATTTGGAGCTTTCCGTGACTTTTCGGTCACCTTCGTTCTTTAAAATCGCAACCATATATGTTTGCCTTTGTATTGGGGTGCCAACCCGCCGATTTATTCTGATCATATCCAGTATCTCAAAACTTTTCAGGTGACATCCAAAAGTACTAGGTACAAAAGTACACCGCTGGAGGTACTAGGTTTTTTTATTCTCTGCCTAAAGATATAATGGAAATTAATAATTATTAAAACATTTACATTAAAAAGAAATTGAAAATATTTATAATAAGCAAATGTTACTACTCATTAAGTGAGCATTTTGATAGGCTAATATAGAATTAATTGTATTTATTGATACCATTCTGAATTTATATTTGTATAGTGTAAATCTTGAATAACTTAAAGTGTTTCTGAATCTACGGAAAACAACTTATTTTAACATGCCTTTCACATTTATTGGATTTGAACTCACATCTCTAGCTTCCTTACTCTTTAGATTTCAGCTATCAAAATAAAACCAAATACTCTTCCGACCTAATAATATTGTCCACCACACACACTATATATAGGGAAGTGCCACCACTCTTGTCTTTGGCGATCAGCATGTGGATTTGTTATATCAGGGGTATTCCCTAATAGGCGTATTGCTTTAAATTATATACATGTACCTCCTTACAGTCCTATTTAAATAAGCATCCTTAACACATTTTTGGCGCGTTTAGCGATTTTTAGTGTGAAATAAGTTAGGTGTTTGCCCTAAAAAAAACAGAGGAAAAAGTGTAAAAAAAGTGATAGGCCTAATGATTTGTTTGGAGACCCTAAAGTAAACAAATGTCCAGAGATCGTTGATCAGTTGTTTCAGGCATGGTCAACCCTCAGGCATACGGAGTTGGTATGCAAGGAGGTGTTGGTGTTGGGATGCAACCCCAGAATCCTCAGCAAGTTGCTCAACAGTTGCTGCAGCAACAACAAATGCAGATGCAGCAACAGCAACAACAACAACAGCAGCAACAACAACAAGCACCTCAACAGCAGGCACAGCAGGTATGCTAAGTTGTGTCAAAACTAAAAAACTTGTCTCGTAGTATCCTCCAGGAAGTGGTCAGTTTCTAAATTTGTAGGCCTATGCTATTTGTAATGTAGGTGAATACCAAGTTTATGCTAATGGAGTAAACTGGTGAGAGCGTGGGATTTTGGTTAACTTATAAAATTCTTTTAGCCGACTACCTCGCATTATAATTTATCTAGTAGGCTACCTAGGCTATATGCTTCTAGTCTATATCTATCTTCGATACATCTATCTATACTATTATAAAATTGAGGTGGTGTCTGTCTGTCCTCCTGCCACGACTAAAATACTAAACCAATCCGATACAGCCCAAATTACAAAGACTGTCCACATACCTAGGAATGTCATAAGACTATTCACTTCCCTGAGTTCCTCTCGGGCTACGGGCTTAGATGTCCAAAGTTTTGAGGCTGAGGTTTTAAACAGTAGGCCTAAATATTACCGTAATTGGTCTCCATGGTAGCATGAGAAAATTCACAATCTTTGTTTACCTTTGCGTTGGCATTTCAATGTAAACAGTCAGAACTACTAAAATGCTTATTTCACAATTTCTGACAGCTGATCCAAACATATTAAATAAAATATTTTACACAACTATGTGGTAGGTTTATTTATGTAAACAAATAAAAAACAAATGTAAAATATTGGTTATGGGAAAAAAGAAAGATTCTATAACCATAAGTTATGAAAATTATGTTATTGATATATTTTATTTAATGTAAACAGTAGGACAATTACAGTGTGGGTCATACTTTTTGTAAAAATTTGGTGGCTCTTTGTTTATAAATTCGATCTACTTAACAAGTGTTTGGATTAGGCGGTATGGTACATCTTCCCGGTGTGAAGCACGTGTACAGCAGCTAGTGGTATGTGTTTAGGTCCTGTTTGTGGAACATATTCCGCAAAAGAAGGAATAGCTTAACCCTCCGAGTGTCCATAGTTTTGGCCTTAATGTCTGCCTATTTTTTGCGCATTTGCAAGGTTTTATTAAAACGGATTTGAGAAGCTTAAAAACAATGTTAATTATACTGTTCTATATACCATTTTGTTTGGAAAATCATGGGCTTCAATATTATACATAAAACATAAGGAACATTTGTTTCAAAAAAATTTTTTAGGTAAAAAAAAATATTTTGGAAAATTTTCAAAAAAAAAAATAAATTCACGCTCAATGAAATTGTATAAATTATAGGCCTATAAATATTTGAAAATAGCCACTTTGTTCTAAATTTTATGAGGATTCCAAAAAAATAATAACATAAGGAAGTAGATTTGCAAATAAATAAGTTATGGGCAAAAAACAGATTTCGGTACATAGCGTTTAGCTAAGAATGCATAGCCTAACAACAACAAACGACTCTCAGTTAATTATATAGACAAATTATTAATTATAAACGACTCTCAGGTATTTTATATGGCTAGGAATCTGGCTGATAATTTACATCAATATTACTACCTACTTCTTCAGGATCATAGACCAGCCCTTCAAAATCACTTAAATCTTCTTATAATGCACCACGTATATCACTACTTTTGATTTTTAACACTAAAACAATGATAAACGTTGTGCGGTTCGAAAGGACCAAAAATCCGCAGCTCGAAAGGACCAAAATCCGCGGCTCGATAGGACCAAAAATGTGCGGTGTTATTATAATAAAGAGTAAAAAGTCGAGGGTTTTACTATAAAAGAGGTTTAATTTATGAGAGAAATAATGAGTACATGTTGTTATGAGAGGTGATTCGAGACGAATGAAAGCAACAATGAAAATTGACATATGGTAATGTGATGGGAATTACAGATGGACTGTTAAAAACAAAGACATATAAAATTAATACAAAAACAAAGGCAACTTGACGGAACATACCGCCCCCTTTGAACCAACAAGGTTCAACAAAATAGAAATAGAAAAAATATAAAATTTTTATGAGAGTTGACCAGAGTGGGTTGAAAAATTATTTAAAGAATGCAGCTTAATGGTAGGAAGACACTTTGAATGGTGGTCTTGAATGAGGATCCAGCTGGAATGTAGTTAGGAGGAGCTGGGTGTGTTTTAGCAAACAGGGTCTACATTGAGGTTTTCTTTCTTGAGGTTCCACTTGAAACAACGCTGATGAGGGGTCTTAAAATATTCCTTTCTCCAATGGCAGCATAGGCTTTGGGTGATGTCTTGAGGCAAATTATGAGTAAGAGGTGAGATCTTTGTTGGGTTAGGAACAGTTGTCAGAGAAGAGTTAATAAGAAAATGGCCAGGAGTTACAGCTGTCAGTTTCGAAGGGTTTGAGCTTACTATTGCTTCTTTTTGTTCTTGGTCGGAGTGATTTCTGTTATCAGCCATAGGCTTACTAGGCTTCAAAAAATGTAGGAGTGTGTGATGAAGTTTCAAACAGGTCTTACAAGTATTAGTAGACTTGCAGCGTTTAGCAAAGTGATTACCAAGGCAATTTGTGCAGCGTTTTAAGTCGCGTACAACTTTAAGCCTTCTTGAGGGGTTTTACTAATAAAGACAGGGCAACTGTATATTTTGTGATTTTTACGGCAGCAAAAACATTTCAAATAATTTGAAGTGCATATCAAAGCCATAGGAGGATGTTGAAACTGAAATGATTCATCAATTTGATGTGGAACTTGATTAGGGTTGGAAAGTTTTAGAGGAGCTACTTGTGTAGCGTGACAGAGAGAGGCATCTTCACTGTTGTTACAAAAGTCTTTAAGAAATTTGATTAATTCACTTGCTTGAGGAAAATCAGAAGAATTTAGGCGTTTTGATTCGAAAACTTGACAGAGGTTGGAGTTCATTTTTCGTAAGATCAACATACTTAGTAGGTAGTTGTCTTCCATGACATTATCAAGAACACTAAGAGCTTGTTCATTTTCATTGAACTCATTTAAAAATGATCTGAGGTTTTTGATAGGTTTGTCAGTAATATTGGGCAAATCGATAATTTTACTGAGGTGGACAGAGATTAGCCTACGTTTCGAGTGGTATCTTTCCCGTAAAGCATTATAGGCTACTGTATAGTTGCCAGACGAGATCGGTAGGGATTTGATTAGGTGTAAGGCTTCGCCTTCAAGTGAACTTATCAAGTACTGGTGTTTTTCAACAAGGGATAAGCTACTGTTGTTGTGGATAGTAGTATCAAAAAGGTTAATGTAGGATATCCATGTTTTAGTGTCACCATTGAAGGACTTCAGTTCTAGCATAGATAAAACATACTCCCTTAGTAGATTTCTCATCCTTATGGAACAGCTGAAGACAATTTTATTGTTAGTTCTGTACGGTTTTCTGTAGAGGTCGTGTTTTTTTTACAATTTGTTTCCCGTTATTACAGCCATTTAAAACCTCGTTTAACCAAATAATACGATCTAATCATAAACAATAACCTGTCCCCTAGTTATATAACCAAACAGTAAAGCACAAATCAAGAAATTAACCCTAAAATAATAGAAACAAAGTTTCGTCGACACTAGCGCCCATGTGTCACGTAAATGAACTAGACACGAAAAACGTGCTTCAAAATTTACAATGGGATGAGAAGTCTACTTGTGTTGGTTAGTCTATGGTTCTAGCTTGGGCAATTTTACAACGCTATGAGTAGGCCTAGAGGTTGGGTTTGATGCTACAGAGTTATTTGACAAGTGTTCATCATTAAAGTCCTGAATTAAAAGAGAAATTTCAGTTTGAATGTTAATTGAGAGTTCTGATATGTCGTTCTGGAGCTTTGAAATAGCTTCTTCATTGTCAGAAAAAACGTTAGTATTGTCATCAACATCAAGAAGCTTATCAAGGTTAGCTTCAAAATTGGCAGAAATTGTTTTAGCTTCTTGCAAATAAAGGTTAAGTTTAGTGGTTTGAGCTTCTGTTACTTCTGATGGACACGAATTGGATATACTCACTGATCAAATTTATTTTATTTAATTGCAATTTGCATCTATTAGAAAATGTTGAAAATCTCATTTTGAAAGTTAGGCCTAGGCCGTTCAATGAGTTTAGTAGCAGAGATATTATAATTGGATGGAGTAATTAGAGGATGAGGACGAAGACTGAGGAATAAAATTAGGGTTTCTTTATTATTTTCATGTTGATAATGCTTTATTATTTTGATAACTTACGATGAGATGCGGTGCGTTGTCTTCGAAGTACAAACATAACCTTACTTTTGAGTTTCTTGACGTTTAACGTTGGTTGCGATGCGATGTAGACGAAATGAAGTCGAGTCGAGATGAATGCGGAGCGGAACTAGCAGAACGATGACGATGTTGAACACTTGGAATGAGAGGAGTGTGGACTGTATCGTGACGTAGATGAAAAGTTAAAAATGGCGATGCGGTATTGTCCTTGGCGGCTTCATGTTGGATGAAATACGTTCAACCGAGACATTGAAAATAAACTTGAGTGAGAAAAGTCGCACTAATGTTCGTAGATATAATCCGCGGCTCGATAGGACCAAAAATGTGCGGCTCGAAAGGACCAAAAATCAGCGGCTCGATAGGACCAAAAATGTGCGGTGTTATTATAATAAAGAGTAAAAGGTCGAGGGTTTTACTATAAAAGAGGTTTAATTTATGAGAGAAATAATGAGTACATGTTGTTATGAGAGGTGATTCGAGACGAATGAAAGCAACAATGAAAATTGACATATGGTAATGTGATGGGAATTACAGATGGACTGTTAAAAACAAAGACATATAAAATTAATACAAAAACAAAGGCAACTTGACGGAACAAACGTAATAAAACACATCAGTCATCGGTGCGAGGTTAACCAAGCTGTTTACAAATACGCACGTCAGCTGTCTGCTACAATTAAGATCGGCTCGAGAGAAAAAAGCGCTTAGAGACAGACCTCGGGAGAAAGCTTAGAATCTGCCAAATAAAACGATACCTAACTCGATCCAGTTCAATCCGATTTTGTCAGTCATAGAGCCTTCGCCGTAAACAGTGTTTGTGAGTCGAAATTTCGACACATAACATTCTGAGGGTTAAGACACAGTTTGTGTCTTGCTTTATATTGAGGGTGCTCTCGATCAAAAAGTTCCCCTCTCATTCGAGATTGACTTTGTTTTCCAAGTTTTGCTCCAAACAACCGAACATGGCATATACAGACAGCCAAAAGGAAATGGTAATTGGCTAGGACACGAGTTCACACTAAAAACCATTAGGCCTATACCAGCCATATCTCCACGAGCACAAAATTACAAAGTAGACTACACGTGTTAAAAGCAGTCCAAGGTTGAAAACACATGAACAAAATTGTAAACCATAAACAATAATGAGTGTTAAATAAAAGTTACCTACTTACGAACTCAATGCAATGTTTACAGGTAGGAGGAGTGGTAGGTAACGCCCCTGGAGTAGTCCCTGGTTCCGTACCTCCGGGTGGAATTGCTCAACCTCCTGGAGCGGCTCCAACTCCTCAACCTCCTCAGCCTCCCAAGGAGTTCAACACTGTGTCTCTCTGCAAGTTTGGCCAAGAAAATGTTCAAGAGATCATCCTCAGGACAAACGAGATCTTCGGAGCTCTTAAGACAATCCATGTGAGCTAAGCTAATAAAATAATTAGACTGTAAATGTAAAATCAAGCCCGCTACCTGGAGTAGATACCGAATTAGCCATTGCATTTTTGCCCAAGGTTCTCTTTTGTACCGTGAATTTCATACACAAAATAATATCCTGTTGTCATTTGTTTGGCATAACAGCTGGCGTAAAGGCCATTTTTAAAGAAAAAAAAAAATGGCTTTTTTATGCAAAATATACATTGATAGCATTAGCATTTAGACAAAGCATCTAAATAAATAGCTTATTCCCTATAGGGGAAATTCGCTAAAATAGAAATAAAATTAAAAAAAAAATTTCGCTAAAATTGGTTGTAGGCCTACACTATAGTTAAATTAAACTACAAAACCATAACATTTTTGCAAAAAATCTTTTATTCCTATCGTAAAATCACCCTCTTATGAAATGTAATTTTTGTGTGCAGCCACCCAATGGCACGGCGCAAGGAGTTCAGGCGAGTAACGACAAAAAGGCAAAGGTCGCTGATCAGCTGAGGAACATTCGGATGTTGTTCAAGCGGCTCCGGATCATCTATGAGAAGTGCAACGACAGCTGCCAGCTGCAAGGAATGGAATACATGCACATTGAGGTGATCACTGTTTTTCCAAGGGATTAAGCAATATACATTAGGCATTTTTTTGTGTAGGCCTACATTTTTTTTATTCTAGTAAAATGGATCCTAAGGCCATCGATAATGTAGGCCTACCTGTACTTTGTCAGACGAGTTGAGAACTGCTTATCTTGCCTGTTGTATTGGTGTAGGTCTCAGTGTAATCCATACAAAAAATTAAGTCGGTTTGTGGGGAAGTTTTTCTGGGTCCCCCTCCAATATTTTGCTTTGAATGTATGTTATTCAGTTACTGATTGATGGATAAATAATTTTGTTTTGTATTTTTTACTTCTTTTATGTTCATTGTCTACTTTTTACATTTTACTTATATTAATCAGTAATTTTTATTAAAATACACCATAAAAGTAAAAAGGCAAGGTTACAAAAAACCATCCATTTTGATCATGAATAAAATGCAGAGGACTGATCACCTTTATCTCAGAAATTGAAAGAACAGACAAATTGGACCACAGCTTAAGTTCCTAGTCCTAGAGGAATCTTTTCTACACTAAGGAAGATTTTGTTAAATTAAGTGAAACACTGAACCATATTCGAAGACTAAATTGGCTGACTAATTTTGCTAAATAAATTAACACTAAATTAACATGCGGTCTAAAAAAAATTATCATCAACCTACAGATGAAAGACAGTAGTTGTTGTGGTTACAACACACCGTTGAGAATGTTTAAGCCACAAATGGACATTGTAAATTTGAAAACAATTCCAATACTGTACTAGCACTGAAAATGTTTTTTTTTTATCTTATTTATTATGCTTGTAAATATGAAACACCAGTAATTAGTACTACATTATTTTATATTAGTAGGCCTATAGTTTTTATTTTAGACATTTACCAACCTTTATCCAGCCTTAATATGTCGTAAATAATATGTAACCTAGGCCTATATAGGCTGGCAAAATCAGGGACACGTTAGAAGCTAACCGAGTTTTATGTAACACCCCGCTTAAAATAATGTTTTAAATACCTATAACAAATTCTAGTGATGTGTACCGGTATAGGTTTGGGAAATCTATGATATCCATTGGACTACATAAATGGACCATTCTATTTGTTTTTAATGAGCCATTATATTTGATGTTCCAGAGTTTGATTCCATTGAAAGAGGAATGGGACATGAAGTCAGATGAGCGCAAAATGTCTGAACAGTATCGGGTCAGTTGTGATGACAGCAAAGAAATAATGGAGGTAAGGACACTTTTTGTCAGTGAAACATTCTGTAAATATTTGTAACGGTAGCAGAGCATATTTTTAGGGATTTCCACTGGGCGACAGTGGCGCCGGGGTTACCGGGTTTGCTTAAATTAAAGTGAAAAACACACATTTCTACGTATCTTGTAATTAATTTTTTGATTATATTTGCTTGTAAATCCTCCATATCATCTCACTTAATTACGAACTCTAGAAATATTTACACAACGTTATTTTATAAACACTTTTAAAATCCCAATACATTTAAAATGTGAATAATTAAAAAAATAATGCCGGCACCATCCATAGCCACTGGGAGACAAAATCTCAGCACTGGGCGACATGTTATTTTATGCTCTGAACGGTAGGTAACCCCCAGGCAAATGGAAGTTTACTCACTACTTGGTTGGCGTAGCTCAGGAATATAACTCAGTACTCGCTTACAAACCCAACTTTATTATTAGCATACAAAGAACACAGAGATAAAGATAAGTAACCTACAAAAAAGTAAAATACCCCCGCCACAGCAAACCTGCAGACTAAGCGAATTTGGATATTTATAGGGATGCACTGCGGATGCGATGCTCACTGGTGTGGATTAACGTCCGCACTAGTGAGTACTACGACTATCCGCAGTACTATCCTGATAATTAGACCAATTCGTAAATTACAAGGAAAAATGTGGTTCGGATTCCACTATAAACTGTAGGTCCCTTAGTTGCCATTAGCTGTATGGGCTATTAATTAACAGCTGTGTCTAAGGAACATGTCGGCCTTAGTCACTAACAAGACTACAAGATCGCGCCACTCATCCTACACTCATCCTTCACTCATATTTGGGTTAAATATAACATAGTGGCGTCCCCATCTTAAATAATTGATATAATTGATTGATTTCCATTTGCCTGATTGGATTTACACTAAAATGTCTCCTTAAAAATATCACATTTATTCCCTATTTAAATAGAATCAGTTTAACACATACTTAGGTTTGCTGCAACAGGGAGGGTAAAAGTGTTTTTTTATGTAAAATGTTAATAGTTAGTAAGAAATAAAAACATTTTCCAAATTTGGGCAAAATATGTTAATAAACAAGCAAACTACAACAATTTTCTTATTCTACATAAGAATAACATGGGAATTTTAAATTTACAATTTTTTGGAATTTTCTCCGTAACCATTAGGCGCATTATAACGCTTCAATTTACTAAATTATTTGTTTTTTTTTAAGCTCTACAAAATTGTTTGGAAAGAAATTGCAAAATTTTATGTTTTTTTGGTCAAAAATGGGAAAAACCCATTTTTACCCCATAAAAGCCCCCTCAAACCCCCGTTCCCATGGTCCGATCATGCTGGTTCGCGAACTCGTTCGAATAAACGTAGGTTTACATGTTTGTACGAAATTTCATCAAAATCGGATCATTTTTGCTTGAGTTATTGCGCTAACGGACACACACATATCTATACTTATAAAAGGCAAAGCCCTCACTGACACACTCACTCACTCACTCATCACTAATTCTCCCACTTCCCATATACCTAGGAGACTGAAATTCGGTACACCGATTCTTTGGGCATTAAATAAGATAACCAAGTAGTTTTTATTCTGATCGGGCATTCGGGCTCCGCCCCAGTGGCTCTGGAGTTTCCCATGTTAACCTTATGATTTGTCATATTTAAAAGGAATTAATGAATCTTAACAGCTGTTTCAATTAAACAAGTTGGTTCTGTCCTATGATGTTCAATAGCATTAAATTTACAAGGATTACCAACAGGGTACCTCACTATTTTTTTTGTTTTTTTTTTAATTTATGACAACAGCTAATTTGCAACCAAAAGGTGAGTGAGCGTAGCGAACGGACTTCAACCAGGACGTGATTGAGCCATGCGACCGAGCTCATCTTGAAAATTAAGAAGTTAAACGGGACAAAGCCCGCGGGTACAGCTAGTATATATATATATATATATATATACACGGCCGCGCCCGGGAAGCCAGTCACATAAAATATACACTGGAAGTCAGTCAGTTGCACCCCCCAATATATTTCAAGACCATGATATATATATAATATATGTTGGTAAATATCTTAAGCCTAGACATATCTAAACGTATATATCTCTTTTTTTCTTAAAAATACTAAAATATAATTACGTAAAAAATGCTATGCTAATGCAGTCACCTCCGCATTTGCATGGGAAAGCCAGTCACGTAAAATTTGTGCTGCTAAGCCAGTCACTATATATTTTACCGCATACCACTGGAATCCAGTCACTGAAAATCCACCCGGGTATCCCGTCACTTCAGTCACTTTCACCCCTGCCCTTCTACTTTGTGATATTTATTTGTTCTACAAGCTTGAAAATCCGCACCTCAAACAAATGGATTATGCTTCAGGCATTGAGCACTCTCATAACCCATCTTTCGCACTTCATTTTAATTAGTTGTCTTCCAGATTACTTAACAATTACTATTCTACAGATTAAATACCTAAATGTCAATGTAATCTTTGGTCGTCTTAATAGTCGTCCTGGCAACTGTGGATACAAATATGTACCGTACTAATTCGCAAGCGTAAGGTGGGAAGTTATTGCTTTATAGTCGCACAATTAGGCCTATTGTTAAGTCCTTGGAGGCAAGCGGCCATCTTGGACCATTTCAAAAAGCTGCAAAATTTATCGTCCAAAAATATTTTTCAAACACCAAAGTGTTTATAATTTAAATAGCTAGTATACTGTGGTATTAGAAATGTTCTTTGTAGTTTTGAATTATTCTCCAAGGGAGTCCATAAAATAAGTTAACGGCCACGGTCATCTTGGAAAAAGGCCAACTAATACGAAAACTATATCCTGTGTTGCGCGGGCCGTAGCACACAAATAGTTTTCCCGCCTCAAACAATCAAAGGCGTGTGGAACAAGGCAAAATTCTTGTCTCTTTTGTGGCGAGAGGTAGGGGCGAGCCTAACGGGTTCCATTGATGGGCTACCCGGCTACCGACCGACCTGGGGTAGCGACTAGCGAGCCAGTGGATGGTTAAAGGTTCTGCCGGTTATTTCCATCTTATTGCTGGTTCTCGAGCTTTTTGAGCTCGTTGTACAGTGAAATATTACTTCCCTATTTTATATAGCCACAATCAAAGCGATTTTTACAAGAAAGAATGAAGATATAGACTCAGTGATGTGTGGTTACTTAATTAAGTCATGTTCCTTGATTGTTTACCCTTTTGTAAGAGCCAATAATCAATCAACATATATTTCTTTATTTTTCGATTTATTATCTATATCAATTCAAGAGGTAGCCCTGTACCTGGTTAACAAATATACCGATTACATTTAACGTGTTTTCTTTGAGTTACGCCCCATGGGATTCCAAAGTTTCACAATGTTTACATTTTTGAAGAATGTAGATAACAGAATGTTTAACGAAGTCAGCTTTAAATGCTGTCAATAAAGTTCTTTGATTTTGCGGTCCAAAAGGTAGAAACGTTTCGATTTGTAAAACTTTTAACTTTTGCTACGAGCCTGTTAATTGGAGATTCTGACATTCTTAATTTAAGGAAGTAAACGTATTAACATGACGTGTTTGGGGTGGGATTTGAAATATGTGACGTGTATCAAACTTTTTCTCTTCAAAATCCTCTCCGATGTAAAACACAGGTACGGCAGCTAGGTTTATTAGAATTCAAAAGTTTTTTAATTGTCCTCCAATGTTTAGAAATTATTTTTCGATCAAGTTGTTTAATGAATAAATAATTGTTTTGCCAAATTATGTTTCGAAAACAGGAACTAAAAATAGATCAGGAAATAGATATTTTAGTTCAGAAAACAAAGCCAATCAAATAGGCCTACGTACTTTTTAAATAAAAACACTGGTCAGATGGTTTTCAACTTTGCTGTTAATTTACTTCAATAAATTTCTAATAAAAATCGCCACAGGTACTAATCTATATAAATAGAATTAGAGTTTTGTCTGTACATTGCTCAGAATCATCAACTTTTAGATTATTTTTACGTTTTAAACATTCAAGAATCCGAAAAAAGTTTCATCTCAATTCCGTTATTATCTCAATCATCAATTATTATCTCAATTCCGTTGTTGTCTATCTTCCGTCTGTCACGGTCCAAAGGCCATTTTACGCGGCCTTCTCCTGAAAACGAGAGTACCTATCAAGATCCTCGAATCATTTTAATGTATTCACTGGATTGGCGAAAGTGTCTTTAGCTATTAAAATATGGCCTCGCTACTTTGTAAAAAAAACTTACGGACGTTTAAAACCCAATTTTGTGCGATTTTTGTCAAGTTTTCTCACAATGTTTATCACATAATCATCATATGAAATAGCGAAAAGCTGTTCGGATCAAGATTATTTTTCTCTAGCTGTCACTGATATGTTTACATTGAATATTGTTTACAAATACCGCAATCATTTCAGATCAAGTTTCAAAAGCAAATCCAAACCAAGTTGGATTAAAACCGTCTTTCCTTACATAACGGATTTAATTAATCGCAAGTGCAATAATGTGTAGGGTAACCGTAAATGAAAATAGAGCTTCTTTGTGTATAGAATTTCTATCGAGTTTTGGGTTTATAACCGGGGAAAAGACTTTGACTCAGTGTTCTATATGCCTGGGAAACTTACATTTTTTACATAAGCGTTACCAATAGCTTACATATAAGGTTTCAACTCGTTGACGGCACTTCAATGGTGGTTGTGTAAAGTGTTTAGAGACAACTGCAGTGGGTGATTGTAACAGAGGTTTACGGATTATGCTCAAATCGTATTTCTAATGTGTCTTCTCAACGCTATGTGCTGCTCGCTGGACCATACGTCCAACAGACCAATTATCAATCTCTTGGGTTCGTAGGCTTAAACAATTATTCATAAGTTGGTAGCGCATATAACTCAGTGTTCCGTACGGACAGGCCAAGAGCACCTTTGATAGTGAAATTTCCAACCTGAATTTTTAATGGCGAGGTTGAGGTATAGTATTTTAACCATA